GGCTATAGCCTTGGTGCTCATATAAGTATGAAGGTGGTGGGGTGTATTGATAATCTTGATAATAGTAATCATAGGAAAAATTGCTTTGGGGATATGTTTGAGAAGGTGGTGGGGTGTATTGATGTGAAAAGGGTACATTGTAAGCTTGGTAGGAGTAATGGGAAAGATATTCAAAATTGTGATATTGAGAGTTCATCGTTTCAAGTCTCCTGAAATCACAAGATTGGGAAAAGCTTTTGGTGGACACAAGATAAACAATTGATATTAAAACAATAAAACAAAAGAAGACTCAGCTCAAGATTCAAAATATCAAATTTCCTTACTATATTAGAAACTCAACAAGACACCCGTTTACCACTCCCCGGCAACGGCGCCATTTTGACTGAGATGCTTTTCGTTTACGGTTCTCATTTAGAAGCGTCGTCAAAAGATTAGATGATATGGGGGTTGTGTAAGGGGCATGAGATGTAAAGAGTTAAAACGAGGTGAGTAAGAACCACCCCGAGTGTCGTACTCAATGAGTGATAACTTGGAAGTGTTGAGAGAGTGTTATGGTAAGGGTATTTGAGCTTGAGGTCCTGGGTTAAGGGATTGCTTTAACAGGTTGTGGTAGAAGAATCGCACGATGTGAAAGAGAAACAAAAGAGGTAAAATAGATGAAAGGAAAACGGGTTCGAATTGTGCTTCGATTGCATTTCGTGGTTGGCCATACCGAAGGTTAAGTGATTCAAACGTGTTGAAACTCTAATCAAGAGGGATGGCAATGCTAATGCGTAGCCGATTCGGTCTAAACGCCACTTGAAGGAACTCTTGTTCTCTAAGAGGCTAACAAACATCTCGCCTACATCCCTTTCCGGACCTTATCCTCTCGGATCTGAGGGCGGGAAATGCAAGTGATAAGCCTAGAGTGCATCACAATCTCTTGCCAATGCACTGATGCACTCATCCTAGATCTAATGGGCGAGTTGCGCACCTCACACACTAGTCTATATGAAAACTCACTTCCAACAAGACAAATAAGCCAACAACAATCAAGAATCACAAATCGCAATACAAATCAATCAAATGCAATCTCAACAACAATCTAAGCCCCTAGAACTTTAGCCAAACATGATAATGAGCAAGATCTAGAACCTATGAAATGGATGAACAAGATTTAAACAATAAATATCAAAGATTAGATTTCACCCAATATGAGGCTAGATCCCTTCCGATGTTCGCAGAAGATGAAGATCCAAGCTTCGAGCTCTCCAATTCTTCAAGCTTCCTTGCCAAACATCTAGATCTTGACTAAAATCCTAGAAGAGAAAATAAAATCTAACCCTAATCTAGAGCTTCTCTCTAAAAATGTGAACTCTAAGTTTAAAATTGTCTCTCCCCCTTCCAAATGCTGAATTTCCCCTTTAAATATTCGCCACCCTATTCACGCACGACCCCACACCGTGAGGCCGGCGTGAATAGGGTATAACCCTTCAATTTTTGCCGCTTCGCTTGGCCTCCCGTTCACGCGGCCCTCACGCCGTGAGGAGGGGCGTGAATGGGAAATACTTCCCATTCCGTCCTTCTTCTCGTGCGTAGTCCCGGTGTGTTCGGTCCTCGTTCGCGCGTTTGTCTCAGCCTTGACCTTTTTGCCGTGCTTTCTGTCCAAAAATACCTGAAAACAAATAAAATGTAAGCGAGAAGGTATTTATGTGCTAAGCTGTTCTTTTAGGATATTTTGCTCTAAAAACATGACTTCTAAGCCAAAACTAGTGCACAACTCATTAGAAAAACTACTGGAAACTTAGTATATTTTGAGGCTTATCATGTCTTAATGGCATCATCAACTTGGTCATCCATCAAATAAAACATTGCATCTTATTTTAATGTTCCTATTAACATGTCATTGTTAAAACAGTTTCACTGTTCATCTTGCAGCATACACAAAAGTCACACATTGTCTTTTTAAAAAATACTCATGTTAGTATTTAGTAATAAGCCACTGCAATTGCTTTATACTGACGTATGGGGCACGTCGGACAAATCTGTTAATGGGTGTCTCTACTATGTTATTTTCGTTGACCACTTTACAAAATATATTTAGTTGTATTCATTAAAACAGAAATCCGATGTGTTTACAATTTTTTCCTCAATTTAAACGCTTGGTTGAGAAATACTTTGGTCACACTATTGTTTCTTTCTACTCAGATAGCAGCGGTGAGTTCATTAAACTCATTCCGTTGTTCAATGCTCATGTTATTTCCCACTTTATTACCCCGCCTCACACATCAGAACATAATGGCACTGCCGAGCGACGACACAGACATATTGTCGAAACTAGGTTGTCATTACTTCATAATACATTGAGTTTAGAACATTATTCATCATTTTGTATCAGCCTATAAATAGTCCTATGGCCAATCAAAATGACCTTACCCTTCCAACAGCTGCCGATAGCACTCCAGTCGACTCCTCCAATAGGTCGACCGCCGTTGTTCCTCAATCCGACCACCGGACCTCCACCATGTTACAGCAAGCACATCATTATGTGCTGATTAAGCTGACAGCCACGAACGATTTGTTCTAGAGAGCGCAGCTAGTACCATTTTTGCGAGGCCAGAACCTGTACGGTTTTGTGGACGGCACCATTGCACCAATGCCTGTCCGCCGGAGTTCCTTGATTCCTCGACATCTTCGACATCCCCGATAGCCAACCATGGGGTCTGCCTCTCGTTCACGGACGTAGAGTCGTTTGATGCAGTTGCAGAGTTTTCGCCAAGGGGACACCTCTCCGTCTGAATACCTCGGCCGCGCCCAAATTCTTGTGGAGCAGCTTGCCTAGGTTGAACGGCCAATAAGGCTAGATGAGCAAAATCTTCATGTCTTCAGAGGGCTAAGGCCGGAGTACCTTTCATTGGTGGCGTCTCTAACGACCAAAAGCGCACCACTGACAATCCTCGAGGTGGCAGACCTCCTCAATACTCATCATTATCGATTCCCAGAAGAGACTGCACTGACTATCCATCCTCCACCGGTTGCCCTGGTAGCACACCAGGCTCTGTTGCAGCCCAGGAACCATCAAGATAGAGGGCGTGGACGCGGTCGAAACCATAGAGGACAGCGTGAGAGAGGTCAGTGAGGGCTCGGCGGTATTCGGTGCTAGATCTGCGATATACCCGGACACACAGCCCTAACATGCTACCGACGATTTGATGATATCGGCAGCCAACGACTTGCTTCTTCGCAATCTGGAGTCCATGTTGCCAACCCACCTCAAGCACAAGTCGCGTTTCAACCATATCAAAATGACCACAATACCGCGCCTTTCTCCAACATGTGGCTTCTTGACACAGGCGCCGACGCCCACGCAACTCTTAATATTGATGGCTTGACTAGGGTAGAACCGTACTCGGGCAGTGAGGCGTTACAAGTCGGGGATGGCTCAGGTTTGGTTATACAAAACATCGGTACTGTTTCTTTAAATTCTAAGTCCCGGTCTCTGTTTTTAAATCGAGTCTTACATGTTCCAAAATTACGTGCATTTCTTTTATTTGTACAAAAATTTACGCAAGACAATGACGTATATTTTGAATTTCACCCAAATTACTTTGTTGTGAAGGATCGTGCCACCAAGCAAACTCTACTTAGAGGTCCTAGCACGGGCGAGATGTACTCGTTAAATTTTTCCAATCCAATTGCTTTTCTATCAGCTAGAACTTCTCCAAAAATTTGGCATGAACGTCTTGGTCACCCGCATTCCCGTGTTCTACATCAGGTTTTGCTGTCCGGTCGTAGGATTGTTAAATTCTTTAAATAATTTATGTACTGCGTGTCAGATGGGCTAGTTTGCGTGCTTCCCATTGGAACGAATTAAAAATTGAGTCAATCACTATTAGATTTAATTTTTTCAGAAATTTGGGGACCCTGTCATGTCCTGTCAATTGATGGACATAAATATTTTGTGCTATTCGTTGACGATTTCTCTAGGTTTATGTGGATTTGCCCAATGAAACTAAAGTCTGATATTCATTCCATATTTACCAGGTTTCATACGTTAGTGGAAAAATAATTTTTCCATCCGATTAAGAGTATTCAGTCGGACATGGGGGGGCGAGTACCTAAAATTAAAATCGGTTTTTGCCGCCACAGGTATATTACACAGACGATCCTTCCCCCACACGCACGAACAAAATAGTCATGTGGAGCGCAGGAACCGTCACGTGGTCAAAACTGATTTATCCTTATTAGCCCATAGTCAAGTTCCAAAGAAATATTGGTCCTATGCTTTTGAGTCAGCAGTTCATCTAATAAACCGCATGCCTTCGTCCGTTTCTGAGGGTACTAGTCCATATTTTCGTATCTTTAATAAACACCCCTACTATAAAATGTTGCGTGTTTTTGGGTGTGAGTGTTTTCCCTATCTACGACCTTACAACACTCACAAGATGGACTACCGCTCCATGTCGTGTGTCTTTCTTGGATATCCGGATTCATTTTGTAGCTATAGTTGTTTAGGCAGGAATTTTGGCCGTATCTACATTGCACGCCATGTCCGCTTAAATGAGTCAGTATTCCCATTTTCAAAGTCGGCCACTTCTTCTACAGTTACTCAGACAACTTGGCTGCCTTGGGCGTATTCCCAAATTCGACCACCCGTTGCTGCACCATTGCCCCAAAGTTTCGCGCACTCCCCTAGTGGCCATCAAAATACACAAGCCATACACACATCATCGTCTACGGCAGGTGCGGCGTCATCTTCATTTCAACCGTCAACCTCCTCTAAGACGAAAACCCGATGGCGACGCCAGCGTCCCACCGTGCGCACACATACTATGCGACTGCGTGTCACCATAGATGCTCAGCGTCGACAACTGAAGACCATGGTTTCATCCGTGGATGATGATGAGCCAACATGCCACTCACAGGTAATCTGATTGCCACATTGGCGTAATGCCATGAACGTCGAATTCAACGCTTTACTACACAACCAAACTTGGCGACTTGTTCCACCCCGGCCTAAAATGAACATCATTGGTTGCAAGTGGGTATTCCGCATCAAAAGGAAGTCTGACGGCACCGTTGAATGTTTTAAAGCCCGTCTGGTCGCCAAAGGGTTCAACCAGATTCTAGGCGAGGACTACCTTGAAACATACAGCCCTGTGGTCAAACCGACAACCATTCGGCTCCTGTTAGCGTTTGCAGTTTCCAACGGCTGGACTATGCGCCAACTTGACGTGCACAACGCCTTTCTGAATGGGCGTGTCAGTGAAGACATCTACATGCGTCAGCCTCCGGGTTATATTAACCCGAATTATCCAAATCATGTGTGCAAGCTCCAACGGCCGTTGTATGGCCTAAAGTAGGCCCCACGAGCCTGGTTCACGAGGTTGCATGATTTTTTGGTTCAAATTGGGTTTCGTCCGTCCAAAACGGATGTTTCTTTATTTATTTATGATTCCGGTGACATTCATGCTTATTTACTAGTATATGTCAACGATATTCTCCTGATTGGTAAAAAACCAGATATGATCCAGGATATAATCTCGAAACTATCCACAGTGTTTCGAATTCGTGATCTCGGCAAGCCTCGTTTCTTTTTAGGTATTGAGGCTATTGATGTTACAGGCTCTATGGTGTTGTCCCAGAAAAGGTACATGACTGAGCTTCTTCGTAAGGCAGGTATGGAGTCATGCAAGTCATTATCCACACCTATTGTTGCAAATACCAACCTCGCACATAGTGATTCGGCTCAACTAGATGATCCAACACCGTATCGCCAGCTTGTTGGCTCATTAATGTACCTGTTGATCACTCGTCCGGGCTTAGCCTTTGCTGTTAACAAGCTGTGTCAATTTATGCACTCCCCGACACAGGATCACTGGGCAGCACTCAAAAGGGTGCTACGGTATGTCAAAGGCAGGTTAGACCTCGATCTCCGCCTTGCACCGACTTCTACTCCGGTGCTCTATGCATTCTCTGACTCTGACTGAGCCGGTTGCTCTGTTGACAAGAGGTCAACAGGTGGTTATGCGGTCTTTCTAGGTCCCAATCTGCTTTCTTGGGTTTCTAGATAATAACACACTGTGGCTTGGTCCTCCACTGAAGCCGAGTATAAAGCATTGGCAGACGTGGCTGCAGAGGTTACTTGGATACATTCGCTTCTACGAGAGCTTGGATTATTACCATCAACTGTGTCGGTGCTGTGGTGCGACAACCTGTGGGCCACCTGTTTATGCTCTAATCTTGTATTTCACGCACGGACGAAACATGTCGAAGTGGACTATCACTTTGTCCGCGACAAGTTCGCGTCTGGTGCTCTCAAAGTAAACTTCGTCTCAACACACGACCAATTGGTGGACATCTTCACTAAACCACTTTCCGTTGTTCGCTTCAACGAACTTCGCTTCAAGCTGGGCGTTGTCCCTCGTCCCTTGTCAGCTTGAGGGGAAGTATTGGAGTAGTTAGATGATATAGGTTTGTTAGAGTCTCTAGCCTAGTCTTTACTACTCTAGCTATTATTGTGTAGAGCTTTAGTATATAAACCACTGTAATCATTTCCATAATACATTGAGTTCATAACATTATTTCATCATTTACGGAGGCTGAGTATCGTGCATTGGCGAATGCAGCGGCAGAGGTTCTATGGGTTAAACATTTGTTACACGAACTGCGTTTGAGTTTACCTCAACCACCACTATTGTTCTGCGACAATCTCAGTGCTACATATGTATGTAAGAACCCAGTGTTCCACTCCCGCATGAAATACCTGGCTTTGGATTACTTCTTCATCCGAGATTTGGTGTCCAATGGTTAGTTGGTTGTGCGTTATATTCCATCTTCAGGGCAACTAGCCGACTTACTTACAAAGCCACTTGGGCGTCACCTATTCCTCCTCTTTCGGTCTAAGATTGGCGTCTCTGACAGATCCTCCATCCTGCGGGGGCATGTCAAGCCTATATGCACTAGTTAACATATTCTAATGTCTATTTCCTATTTGTATTCTTGTAGCTTAGGATTGTTGTAACTCACTGCTACTTCCTCCCATCTATACTCTATTTAATTTATACTTGGTTCATTTCATTCATCAATATATGAGCTTTGTATTATCATAATAGAATGTTCAGTGGGAGATGTCGAGACGATGTCCCTAAGAGCAGGGTTTAGCTTTTTGCTACAAAACTGGTTGTATCCCAATGTGTCGCCGCTGGCTTTCTTCACCTCCACAACCAGAAACGAAGGAGTCGTCATGAAAATGTCTGCGGAGATTTCCAGTTTCCATTTTCTTCTGCTCTCTTGTCCCTGCAATCTCACACTGGAATCGCTCTTCTTCACGCTGAAATTATTTAATAGAACACAATTCATTGCAACCAGGCAAAAAGACTAATCTTTGTCTCCATGTCCGGAAACAGAGACGGGGAGCTGAAGCTTTTTATTATTTTATTTTAAATAATTATTTTTAAATAATATTTTAAATTCGAAGTGACATGTTAGAAACATAAAAATCATGCAAATTGGACTAATTACATTAAATTTGTTAGTTTAGGGATTCAATTGTAATTTTTTTTTTAAAGTTCAGTGGCCTAATTGCATTATCGTGTGCTGTTCGATGGCCTATTTGACCCTTATTCACATATATGTATATATGTTCAGGTGAGAACCTACCTTATTTTTTGAATTTGAGAACCTGTGCACACACTTGATGTTGCATCATCCAATGGCCCAAAACATGGTGCACGGGAAAAGTCAACCTAGGAAGCGATGCGCAACGTGTGTGCATTGTGTTTGCAGTGCATTACGTGTGTGAATTGTGTTATAGATGACATGCACCGTCTACTAATATAGATAAATGGCCCAGATTGGTTCTCAGGTTCACATTATATATAGGTTAACATATGAACTCCTATGCACCGTTATATTTGAAATTGGACGACCGAGATATAAGGAGTGGTGCAGTGGTGCACTCGGTGGAGTTGTGCAATGGTGTAGTGATGTGGTGTAGTGGTGCAATGTTTGTATATTTACCAGGTCAAAATCATTATAAACCACAAAATTGAGCAAGATCAACGATACACTACAATGGTACACATGTTCACATGTTAACAAGAGGTTCTCATTTCAACCTTTTATATATATATATATATATATATATATATATATATATATATATATATATATATGAATTTGGATTAGTTGATACTTTGCTTATGTTATAGATAGATTTGTGCTTTTATATTTGTAGTGTTGTTATTGTATTGTTTTTGTATATTTTCTTATAGGTTTATTATTATAGGTATTGAATTGGTAATGCTATTTTTTATTTATAATTTTAAAGATTTTAAAATTTAGCTAAAAAGCTTTGGTTAATCGGTTAACCGATCGATTAACCAAATAAAATTCGATTCGGTTAATTCAGTAATAAAAAATTATTTTGTTAATGATTAAAACTTTAAAAATTTTGATTAATTTAGTTCGATTAACCGGATGCACACCCCTAATCCCTCATGTCTAGGGGTGAACTTTTTTTTTTGTTAGCACAGTCTAAGGGTGAACATTAATGTCACTATTATTGTCTCTATATATATATATATATATATATATATATATATATATATATATATATTGGCCCTGTTTGGTAAAAAATTGGCCTATAGGTCAATTTTGCCTTATTTGACCACTATTAATTGTTTGGTTTAGTTAAAATATTAATATAAATGTTTGGTTAATTAGCTTTTTGCAACTCCAAAAGGCTAAAATTCAAAAAGCTACTCCAAGCAACTTTTTCAATTTAGCTTTTTGAGTAAAGAAATTATACCAAACAACTATCAGCTAACAGCTAATTTACCAAACACTTTTCTACAATCAGCTAATGTTATCAATTATTTATACCCTCTAATTAACACAATCAGCTAACAACTAACAGCTATCAGCTAACAACTAACAGCTATCAGCTAACAACCATTTTACCAAACAGGACCATTATCTTTAACTTTGATCTGCAGTTGCTTATGTAGGGTGATTAAGACCTTCTACAAGAGTCCAATTGAAGAGTGCATGTATATAATACACGCATGAAGTGATTTGATTCTTTGTTTTCTTTGTTCTCTCACACCCAGAAACCATAGTATCCTAACATACAGATTGACATTGAAAAATACCATGAGGAATCCTGACTTCTTCAGCAGCTGGATGGTAGCAAATGGTTGTATTTAATTTGTCCAATGTATGTTATTGTTTTTTATGTAATCAAAGATTCCAACAAAAGTGTCCCACTAGCCGGCTTGGAATATATATATATATATATATGAGAGGTAGCTATCCTAGCAACTAGCAAGAGACAAATAAATGACCTGTTTAGCTAAGGTTTACATGAATGCTTAAATTTGAGCATATATATATAGTATATATCTATAATTTATCAACTTAGAGAAATCTTGTACTATTAAGTAGAAAAGTAGGAGTTGGGAGAGTTTAACATTAAGGGGCACTAAATGGGGGGTATTTTTAGGTATGCAGACAACATAGACAAGTTGGTGATGTTTGTTGGTAGTTTAGGATGCATTGGAGATGGGCTGATGATTCCTCTCAACATGTACATACTTAGTGGAATCATTGATGACTTTGGTTCTGCAGGCATTTCTATCTCCAATCAAGTTGTTGACAAGGTATGTATCTATGTATTTTAGAGTTAATACCATATGGGGTCCTACGAGTATAGTTGTTTAGTCCTATGATCCTTCAACTATTAAATTTTAATCACCCATAGTTCTTCCAGGAGGACCCCGATGGGTTAAATTTTTAAAAGTGAAGAATCATGAGTGGTTAACTTGAACCACGGATAGTAGCAATTTGAAAATCGAAAGATCACGAGTGATCAATTTAAAAGTTCAAAATTAAACACGATAAAATCATTATATTCGGAGGATCTCAAATGACATTAACTCATATATTTACTATTTCTAGACTAGAAGATTGATTTATGTGACAACATAGAAAACAGTAACTAACTAGATTATGTCTGTTCTGTGTATGTTATAAACAGTACTCACTCAAGCTTCTCTATGTTGCAATTGGAGTTGGAGTTTCTGCTTTCATCGGTATGCATTCACGTTTACCATATATATATATATATATATATATATATATATATATATCTTAAAACACCTTTGCTGTTTGATTATCTTGTTTGTTTGAAAATAGCCTTGGCCCATTTGTTGGGTAGAGACCGGTAAGGCAAATTATGTTGTGCATCTGTGTGTACCATGCATGGTGCACAGGGTCTAAATTCATAATTTCTATACGGTAAATTCATCATTTTTATACGGTAAATTCATAAAATCTATACTGTAGATTCATAATTTTATAAATATATGTTCATAATTATAGAGCTATATGTTCATAATTTTTGTTGTTCATATTTCCAATTGTTGAACTCTGTATTCACAAATTACATAACTATATGTTCAGAATTTCATAACTATACAGTTTAGAAATTATGAATCTACAGTACAGATATTATGAATCTGCAGTATAGAAATTATGAATCTACTGTATTTAAATTATGAATCTACGGTTTAGAAATTATGAATTTACAGTATAGAGTTTATGAATCTACAGTATAAAAATTATGAATCTAGACCCGTGTGCACCATGCATGGTGCACACAGTTGCACAGCATAACAATCTGACCGGCATGGTGCACACGATTGCACAACATAACAATCTGACCGGTAAAGGGTCAAGTCTATCAATTGGGACAAATAATATACTATAGACCAAGGTCTACCATGCATTGTGGACCCTAATCAAAAAATAAGTTTCAGGAATTATGTACTTGCAGTTGACACATTGTGTACCTGCAATTAACTGTTTTTGTACATGTAAACAAATTGAAGGCATATCACATGATATTACAAATACAAAACATGATAACTACAAATACATAAACCGTTAACTACAGTCTGTAGGTGATGAATATGTTAACTGCAGACGC